TCGAACATCAATCAACCATAACCACAAGGCTGTGCCGCTGGCCACGTGCGATCTTCACCACCGCTTAGTCCCTCCGACTGCCTCACCACAAGTCTATCACTAATTCCACCCCCATCGTCACTCCGCCCCTCACTTGGGCAAGTCGAGCCTGTTCGACGTCGTGGTCTTCGCACATAGCTCGTGCAACATTGCAATCGAGATAAAAAAGAGGGAGGGGAACGGGCTGCGAAAATTTATAATGCGGACGACAACGGGGTGCCAGCGCGAGGTCCGGGCACCAAGGGGTGTAGATGAGCAGGAATCGAGAAGAAGAAAGCAGATTCTATAAGGATCAAAAGAGGCGGAATGATCGATATATTGGGGTGGCTGTTCAAGCTGCGTGCGCAATTCGTTCTCACGACATTTATCCAACCATCCCAACTAGACGACCAATTTCTCGCGCCGATGGGTAAGGAGAGGATCAGGCGCAAAGTTGAGGGAAGACGAAGAGGCATGCATGGAGGAGAGCCTCAACAAGAAGGGAAGATGACACAAAGGTGCAGAGCGGGAAGCGAGTTTACGCAGTACTACGCAAAAATTCAAAACGACCACGCACACTTTAACACAAAGAAAATTTAAATGCCAACAACAATAATTCCTATGTGTTTCTTCGATTGCTCAGTGCGGTCACTAACCGTCCATGCGAATAACCAATTTGAACGAGGACGGGGGCAATTTCAAAAGATGCGTGCTTGCAGTCCCCAAAAATTGAAAAATGGACCCTGCTTTTCCTGATCAACTAAAATCCGTTCTTTCGGGGCTTGCTTCAGATTTTACTGCGAAGGGTACGTGAAGCCGCTAAGTACGGATCTCAACTTATCGCAAGTCCACCTGGTAGTACCGTCTTCCCCATAAACACAATGTATCCAGATAAAGAATATTTAGAAGGGATTTTCTTGGTCTAGTACAACCATAACAAGGGGGTGTTGTGTTCAAGGGAAGAAAGTAATGGGCACACACACACACACACACAGAGAGAGAGAGAGAGAGAGAGAGAGAGAGAGAGAGAGAGAGAGAGAGAGAGAGAGAGAGAGAGAGAGAGAG